GGAGTTTTGAATATTCGCAGGGAAGATTCAAAATAGCTTCTTCTCGTTCGATTAGTTGAGTTGTTGGGGCTGCGCATTCCTTCAGCAACCGCGAAAGCTCTCCTTTCGGGTCCATGCAGACAACTTCTAGGGTTGAAGAATGAAGGCTTTCACGGCTAATTCTAATGTCGTTTAGGTTTTTCGGGCTGTTGAGCCGTGCTCGGTTTGGATTTAATCCAGAGCTTTCGGCTACATCTGCGGTAGCAATCTTCAGTGACGCTGCCGGCGAGACCAAAGTGCTGGCGGGTCGACAGCGCCAATGAAGATGGCTACCGCAGATGTAGCCGAAACCTCTGGATTAAATCCCACGGCTCAACAGCCCGAAAAACCTAAACGACAACGTCTAGGGTTCTTAGCGATTCTGGTCTTTCTCTCTCTCTTTCTGGTGTCAGTTGCAGAGCCTAGTCTTCTCTGCTAATTTCTTCTGTTAGTTACCTGGGGCAATTTTTTAAATTTAAATCAAATTTCTTCTCGCTGACAGTACGCCTTTGACAATTCTTTCTACAAGTATTTGAAAAAATAATTAAGCTACGTCATCTGAGGATGAGGAGTAGCAAATATCCAATGAATTAAACATAACCGATACGTTATCAAACGAAACTGTCAGATGCCTTTAGTATTCGGCGCAATCATCAGAATTTTTTTTACAATCCGTCTTTTTGATTTCGTAAAATTTTAGTATATATAGTTCACTTGTTCCGTCAAAACACATTTAGAGAGAGGAAGAGGCTAGACTTGGTTGACCAGTTAGGGTGCAAAATACAAGTTCTTGTGATGCAGACAACACAAGAGAGGTTCAGGCTAAATAAAAAGTTCATTTTTCATTCGTTTTTTCATTGAAAAAAGTTACTTACAATTTTGAGATCCCTTTTTGAAATACACGTCCAAAAAAAAATGGAGTAAGAGCAATTAGTGAACATCACTGAATTACACAGGCACTTAATATGTCTGAATTCATCAGGCTCTTGAAGCTATAGCCCATTTAAGGCTTTCGCTTATTCTGAAGGGTAGATATCGAAAATAATTTTAGTCTAGAGTATCGAAGTATGTTAATACTTGGCAGTTTTACCATTTATTTTTCTTTTGTTACTATTTTTATTTTTGTAGGCTTGAATCATATAGCTAAACAAAACCTTCTGACAGTAGCTCCTTTTCTTTGAGCTGTTTCGTCGTTCGACCAGCCTATACACTGATCAGCTTGTAAATCCGCGTAGAAGGGTAATTCGTTGTATGTATTATTAAAAACAGATATGTCTATATGTTTGTGTAAATTTTTCAATTAATCGAAATCTGATAAATGAAATCGGACGACAATTTTGCACGCGATGAAATGGCAAATTTCAGTCGTGTACTCCATCAAATGCAGATAGCGGGACTGATAAAATTTCGTGTGCCCTAACATGTTTTCGATAGACACTAACTATAATAAGGCACATTGTGTGAATATACAGGGCTGCTTAAGCTTTCATATCCGTTAACTGTGAGTACTGTAAATGATACTACTAACAGATAACGGTATCTAGAAAATGGGAGCAACTCCAAATTATTTTATTCCTTGTTTTACTTGTGTTATTTGATACTTATTGATTCCCGTATATTTCAAGCCTATATCTTAATAATAGGTTACACACAGGTGCGAAAACTAAAACCACGCTACCTACACCTATGAGCAGTTTCGTCAATTACGATTACATAGGTAGTAGGAAACTAAGCTTTCCGCATCTCTCAGTGACACCGTCTGCTTCTTTGGTTTTATTTCTTGCACATCACAATACTGCTTTTTTCAATAGACCTACTTCTTCTATTGTCTACTATCCGTCATCTGTGTACTAATGACTAGATCTATACCGTACTTATGGTTGCTAAAAAGCTTGAAAGAATATAGTATACGATCGTTTGTCATCGTATAGACTTGAAATAAACAGTTCCTATTCAGAATGTGATAGATAAGTGTTTATGAAAGATTTAGTATTCCGTTTACACCCTGGTTTATACAGTGGATATTTCAATACAAAATTTGACCCTATCCATGCTAATTCTCCTGTTTAAACAGAAAGACAAAATCAAATATAAAGGTTACATAAGATTAGGTTTAAAAGACGAATGTAGTCATTGATGATTTATGGAAAAGATGAACCCAGAATCTCGCAATTTGAGAAAATATTTGTGAAGGTTTAGTCGCAAATATCTATGAATGCTAACGAAAATTGAGCACATACATAATTGGGGACAAATAAGTAACATGCGACGCTAGGTGCGCGTGGCCTCCACTACGACGTGGTAGACAACACTAGCCAACAGAAAAACTATCTATGTCCTAGTTCTAAGGGAGAAATCGTGTTTACTCTTGTTTCGAAAATATATAGCAGTCCACTGTATACATCGACCTAAAATAAAATCTAAGACCCTGTCTAATTTTTAATAAAACAAAACAAAATTATCAATTGGAAAAAAATAATTTTCAATAAGCAATATAACTATATCATATAATCGTATGTTCATATTAACGTTTTCTTTTGGAGTTCCTTTTGTACTTCGAACCCGAATCTCTTGTGAGGGTCCAGCAGTAGTCGGCAAGTATTGACTTGTCCCAACTACCCTATTATCTGCGTTCAATCTGGGGTAGAACCTTTCACAATGCTTTTCACTCATAGCTCCACAGTTATGTAGGAAAAACAAAATAAGAGTGGAGGAAATGAATCTTTAGGGGCATATTGCATCGCAGTTCACGATATCTTTGTGCGAGTTATTTCACGAGCTTTTGGTAGTTGTCACCTTTTCGGTTGCCTACCTCTAAAGACACTTCAGGATGTGCTCCTTCTTCCCCTTTTAAAACTTTATCGAATGCAGGGACCTGTATTTTGTGATACGACTGGAGTAGATGCCATTGCTTTAGTCTTGATTCTTGATTCTTCTCGCTCGACAGGTCAAGACCTCTTAAGAGGTCAGTCAATTCTCTCCAACTCAGTATGTAAGGCTCACTCAAACCTTCTACCTCGGAATCTGGATCACGGGAACTCTCAGGACTAACGGTTGTGTTCATAATCTTGATATGATTTGGGAATTGGAAGACCAGCCAAATGACAAATGGGCTGACTGGCTGATTTAACGCAGAGATACTCTACCGGTGCCTTTTTTGTTGATCAACGTTGTTTCAACGAAGGCGTTTTGCAGAAATAATAATAGTCTACATGAATTTTAAACCATGGGTATAGCAAATTTCATTGCACGTTCCTTCGTGATCAACGACTCTCTCAGTGTCACTACATGTCTCCTAATCAGTCGCCGTGCGCTGCGAGCGTTCGAATCCCGTCCCAAGAGAAACGTTTCTCTTGGTTATGGATGTTGTGATTGTCCGTAGGTGGTAGACGGTCTCTGAGTGCGCATGCTGCATGCACACATGTTCCCTCGCTAGAGTCCTTGAGGTGTCGCCCCTTTCCCCTGTATCTCCCTATAGTCCCACGGTACCCCATGGGTGTTTAGGCTTTGGTAGCTGGAGTATAAAAAAAAGGTTCGTTTTCAAGAAAAGTAGAAAAATCTCTATTTTTCTCCATTTGTTCAGATAGAAAACAAAAACACACGAAAATATTACTTTTTATTTCAAAAAGTGTTCAAAATGTTGCCTGTTATTGTCCAAACAATGATATAGGCGATGTTCAAATTCCTGACGACAATAGATTCAAATCAGTAGATATAGCAGACTATTCTATAGGCCTTCTTTGCCCTATCCATTTATCTGTAAACCCGTCGTCAAGCCATTGCCGAACAGGAAAAGATAGTGAGGAGGAGCGCCATCTTGCTGGAAGTGTTATATTTCAGCCTCATCAAGCTTAGGGTTTCCATCCTCTTCGATTTGGTTTTCAATAGTTTCAATGACAAGCGGATTGACGGTATCTTCCAACATATTTAAATAAATGTCTCCATTCAAAAATTAATAAACAATGGCACAATCACTTGGTTTCCTCTAATGCCCGTCAATATATTAATTTTTCGGGGGTACTGGGTCTGCCCTCCTACAAAAGCATGAGGATTTTCATTGCTCCAATACCTGCAGTTAAGACGAATCTATTTAGATAAAATGTGCATTCACCACTGAAGCAGATATTATTTACATAAATGGTATTATCATTAATCGCTGCAGTCATTTGTTCACAAAATTCAACTCGCCTATCGAAATCATTTTCGGTTAATCCTTGCAAAATTTTCATTTTGAATGGATGAAATTTATGGAGTTTAGTAACTGTGTGTAACAGCCTAATGAAATAGTAGTCGCAGCAACAATTTGGCGTAGTGAAGTATTAGGATTTATCAAAAATGGCCCAAAACTTCAACTTTAGCGGCTTCATCTAACACTCTCTGATGATCACGTTTTTTATTTGCGACAGATCCAGTTTGAGTAAATTTAGTAACTAGATACAAAATATACCTATGCGAAGTTATCTTCTCCGGATGCCTGGCATTAAACGTGACCGTAGTTTGCGGAGCACATTGATTTTGGTCACCATAAATTAATTTCGGAAGTAAAATCTGAATCAATAAATTAATTTTCACTATCTCAAGATAGACAAAGGTAACTGACAGTATATTAAATTCTTTCTTTCCCTTAGCAATAAATATCCAACAGGTATAACAATAAATACAGTTCGACCAAGGTACATGTCGGCTGTCCCATTACAAAACACAGTAACCGACATTTTTCTCAAAATCTAGTTTTTAATAAATTTGAACTTGTGTTTTCTCTACCATCTGGTACTGTTAAAACTAAAATCGGTACATAAATAAGGAAAATATATAGGTATGCGCACTGCAAAACACAGTAACTAGCAAAACCCATATCACAACCATGTAGCTGCTAAGTAGCTACTGGGTTTTGTTTATGGCTTTTGTAGTCATTGTGTTTTGATTTAAGAAATCGTCTCCCAACTTATCCAGCAAGAGTGCAATGAATCCCCACCACCTACCCTTTAACTACAGACATACCACGTTGTTCAATCAGTTGGTCTCTAACCACCATAGCGAGAGGATACTGTTCCGTGAGACGATGCTGGCACGTAGCACACGAACGAAGAATATAGTTTCTTCGGCACGCTCGGGGTTGAAGAAGGTAACTAAAAACATTGCTAAAACATATTATAAATTCATGGTCAGTAATTCTTTATTTTTTTTAGAATATCGATGAACTCCCGCTTTTTCCAAAAGTAAATTTTGAAACATTTTCATTTTTGGTATACAACTATGAGAGTGAAAATCAAAAAGAAACACACCTAAGAAGGTTGGAAGCTTCTTACTCTTTTAACGATTTGGCACGGAAAATTGAAGATTTTAAATTTAATCACATAGAAAACGCAGTCGATCACAGCGACCAAGATCAGGATTACTGCCCCACACCACAACCATATTCTAGCCATAGCGAAGAAAATTATGACAACATTAAAAGAAGAGAAAAATGAATACCAATTAAAAGCTACTTCAGGAGAAAGCTCAGGTTAGGCAGGTTTTTAGTATTTATACTGTGGTTTAGGATATTAATGTATATAATACGAGTACATTGAACCAAATGATTTTTTAGGATGCCAACAAAGAGAACAAATCGCCCAGTGCTATTCTGGAAAGTAAAGATGCTAGTTTGGTGGCAAGATTCTAACTTATTTTTTAATTAACTAAATATACTGTCTATTTTGGATTTTTCATAGGTTAGTAGTGCTGAGTCAGAAGTAATTAACGAAGTGAGTCGCACAGCAGTAGAAAAGAATAAAATAAAGCCAAAGGGAGAACAATAAAATGAAAGGGATAAGGAAAAACATCCCATGGGACCCGTGTGTAAAGGTAAATGTGGGAGAATGTGCCAAAAATTAACAAAAGAACATCGAGGCAATATCTGAACGGAGTGCTGGAACTTAGAGTACACGAGCAGACGAAAGTGGTTGTACAAGCAAATAAAGCTGGTTCCTGTTAAACGTAGAACCCAGTTAGCCAAACGTAAGATGTGTGAATCAAGGCGTTATACTTTACCATTAGAAGATTCTACGGACATAGAGGTGTGCAGTCATACTTTTTTTAATACTTTAGGATATAACAATGATTCTGTAATAACAGAATTAGTGACAGCAATTAAAAAAGCTCCTTGTGGAGATCCGCTAGAGGAACGTCTAGGTGGCTCCCGTAACCAATCCAATCGAGATATAATAAAGGAAGATATTGACTCATTCAATCCATCAGTGAGTCACTATCGGAGAAAGAATGCCCCTAATGTTAGATATTTACCAAGAGAGCTGATATATAAGAAAATGTATGACGATTTTGTAACAAAACATCCATCCGTTTGCAAAATCGAAGTATACAGTTAAGTTTTGAAGACAATTAATATTTCACTTTGCCGATCCAAATCGGATATCTGTGAATAGTGCAAAATGTTAAAAAACACACAAAATAAAGAAGACGATAAAATTCAATATCAGTTAAATATCCACCGTGCTAAGGCAGACAAGGCAAATCTAGAATATAAAAAAGACTCTACCGAAATACCAAGCTTCACGAAACGAATTTACAAAAAGTGACTATTTTACCGCGGAATCTTAAGCGAAAAAAAAAACACTTATTTTAAAAAGTCTTGTGTCGTTAATGCCGGAAAACAGGAAGCTATTTTGGCAAACACTACCAGACTTAGAAATGTCTTAATATTTGGTGGACTATGAGCAAATAGGTGTTGTAGATTCCGATATTTGAATTGAATGTGTTGGTACTATTGCTTATCCCATTTCTTTAGCATAGTTTTCTGTTGTGTTACCAAACCTATGTATGTGATTAGTTCGATCATCTCGTCATTTTTGTAATATTATTGGTTTTTGTTTAAAGTACCTACTTATTTATACTGTCTGTTTTGTTAGTTTTTTTTTATTTTATATTTTATTAAATTGAAAATGTCTTTATCGTATATTTGAAATTAATTTTTTGCAAAACACGGAAGCAGCACTTACTGTTCTGTGTAACGGAGTATCTTTTGTAATGGAATAATTTGTTTTATTTATTTTTAAGTCTACGAAGAATTAGTTTTTTTGGCTGCCGATCTGTTTCCAAGGCAATTTTTTCCATTTAATTATATAAAAAAAAAACGTGGATAGAGGTTATCTAATACATCATGAAGTTTTTGATCGATCTTCTTTAATAATTTTTTGCGGCTTATACATTTTAGAAAAACTGATTTTTCTCCATTGATATAAATATGCAATTATTGTGTTTTGTAATGGGACAGCCGATGTGTTGATGAAAAGAATGCGGAAACAATTCGGGTTGTTATTTGATTGTTGCCAAGTCTAATCTTCCGAATTGCTGTTTATGTTGATAGTTTCCGTTTTAAATTTTAAACAAATTGTAGATTTGGCAAACCCTGAACACTTATTAAAATAGAAAGTGATGTTTTCGTGTGTTTTTGTTTTCTATCTAAACAAATTAAGATAAATAAAGATTTTTCTAATTTAAAAAATCAAACGTCAAAATAAAGGACTTTGAAAGACCTTCCAAACAAGCTGTCAGCAGTGATGGGCGCATTGTATACATCATGTATAATACACCATTGAATACGCGTAGACAATGATGAATATATACGTCTCGATATACGTATACAATGTATACAATAGCAAAAAGTCCCTTGACCTTTTAGATTTCCACGTGAAAGAGGAAGAGAGAGAGGGGGAGAAGCTGGCACCACGAGTGTAGAACGACCGCACCACACACCACGTTGCCTGGCACAACAGTGATGAAGGCCACTTAAAATGACTAACTTGCTGCAATGCCTTGTTTTCTATGCCCAGATACAATTTTTCGTCGAATCTGCTTTGGATCAATTCCGGATCGATCCTAATGATTTAGGTGGAACTGAAAGGTCAAGATCGTTGCAAATTCTGCAACATTGCATTACTGGTATGACTGTGAAAGTAGTTTATAAATAATGAGAAAGGGTATAGATATATGATATTTAATTAATAATTAGTAACATTTCTTGAGTAAAATATAACAAAATACTTGTGCGACTTCAATCAAGATATAGCGGTATTGGACAACTTTTTCTGCAGACAGTACACTCTACGGAATATGTTTTTCCATTTTCAAACCAAATGAACCGTAGTTCATCGATTTCTTTGTTCTTGGGGCGTCCAGCCATAGTCTTTTAAAGTTGCTGGTTCACTGTTCACCAACTTTCTGACGTTTGGGAATAAGCCTAACCTCACTTATGCTATTCTATACGTTTTCTTCATCATTGTATATATTCTATTGATTATATACGCAATGCATACATTGTATACGCATTGTATACATCGAGACGTAGACAATTAATGTATACGCGTAAACGCCCATCACTGGCTGTCAGTCGATACAGGTAGTTTCCGTTTTAAATTATAAACGAATTGTAGATTTGGCAAACAATAATGTTCAACAGTTTGAACACTTACTGACATAAAAAGTGGTATTTTCGTGCGCTTTTGTTTTCTGTCTAACAAATTACGATAAATAAAGATCTTTATAATTTTCTCGAAAACATATCGACTGGTTTTAAAAAATCAAACTTCAAATAAAGCAGCGTGAGAGACCTTTTACACAAGCTATTACCCGATACGCCTTGTCACTTAAAATTTTTAATGGGAATGTCCCTGGGGGCCGAGGGTGAAAAGGGATAAAGTAGTTTTTGGTTAAAAATTTGTCCCCCTTGAAAATTTTTTTTTATTTGTGGTGGGAAGTTTCCAAATGGACACCCTTTACATTTGTCCCGAAGTAATGGAAGATGTCCTTAAAAATGAAAACGTATAAGCAGTTCGCTTCTGGGCTACAAAAGTAATTTCACGACAGACATAACTAAAGTTGTCGAAGGCATTGAGACATGACCGTGGTATTTTGGTCTAAAACGGGAAACTGGAAACACTAGTTAGTCTGTTAACTTGATTGAAAAGGGTAACACGAAGAAAACCAAGAGGATGCACCAATTTCTTATCTATTCAAATATGATACATGTAAGAAACAATGGGGAATCTTTTTTCACATACCTAATACGCTAAAGCCAAATCATTCTTTACATAAAGGCACAAAATCATTTAGAAAAGACCTAAAAACCGTCCATCTACAACAGTCACCAAAACTGATTGATGGTCGAGACACGCCGTTTTCAATATAACTACCTGCTCACCTTTCCTTTTGTGATCTAATGGAAATTAAGGGTAATTACCTATTCATCCAGAATAGTTGGAAAGGCTTTATTAGTCTCGGCTTTTAATGGTGACTTCTGTGATTCGGTGTTTGTAAAGTGATTCGGAAATATCTACTTTTGAGCACGAAGAGGTGTAATTAAGCTACTATTTACACTTGGCAATAGTGGAGTTTCAAAGGATGCACAGCCAAAGAGACGAGAGTTACGCTTTATGGGAAAGGCATTCCCTGGACTTACGATACATGTGTGAGGCAAATTACATTGAAACTATTGGAAACACGTGTGTACATTGCTGTTAAGCAAAATCTTCACACCATACTATTTATTTCACGGTAATGACCTGTTTTTTGAATATGCAATTTTCAAAATCTCCCTGTACATCATTTTGCATGAAGTAAATAACACCGTTTCATCCTGATTAAGCTACCTCTGTTTCAGGTTAAATGTAAAACGGCCTCCGCTCCAGTACATCTGCCTCATACTCGAATGTTTATCGTTGTTCATTTTTTTTTTCTATCTGATTGCTGTGTTTATCCAACGTTTTTTATTGATGCACTCATCCAGCGTATACGGAAAACAGTATCGCCAGCTTTCACTCTATTGGATACGCATTAAACTAGTGAAAAAATAATCGCATAGGCAACAGAGCGTTCATTTGTTCAATTTTTAATCTGTTAATGCTATAATGGATACAGCTAAAATTTGTTTTTATATATAAGCTTCACTGATCATTCATTGTTAATCAAATTCATTCATAGGGATTACTGTGCGCTTTGTATCAGCATTATTTACGTGAAAAGGTATATACATATTCTTGTTTTTACTTAAACTGGGCGGGAAAGTATTGTAATAGCGAAAAATTCCGAAATTGAGTTATTTTGTTTTTTGGATGTTATATGATATATACGT